ACTAAGAGCTGTTAACAAACTTTATGGGATTGCAACGAAACTTGTCTGTACCCATGATTAGTGGACATCTGACTAAAATTATTCTAGACCATGGATATTGCCAGACTAGAGAGTGCTAGACTAGAGAGATTCAAGCTGTGCTGCCCACCTCTTACCTTAAGCCAATTGATGTGGGATCTCCCTCAAAAAATCCAAGATCCAATTTCACCATTCCCAAAGGCCAGGGGTGCTGACCATGAATAATCTGAGATTCAGAAAAAGTGCCTAATAAACTTAAGGTCTAGTGTTGAGTTTATAGTTTTCTCTACTGCCTCAAAAAAGGAATAAAGGTTTAGAAGGATATAGGCGGCTCGGAGTCTTTTCATAGCTGTGTTTCGCCGGCTCGCGCATGTGTGCTTCCCCAGGATAGAGTTCACGCCTTTGATCAGCCGCGCGCGAGCCGGCAACCGTCAGTTCCTCTCAACAGCCTCAGGTCGCAGTTGGAGCTCCCTGAACTCTTTCTTCAGTGATGTTTTTAAATAGTTTTCTATCTGTAAATAGTTGAAGTTTAGTGTTAGTCGTGTTCCTGTTACTTGTTGTTCTGTTAAAAACAAAAAAAAAGTTTTTCTCTCAAAACCACTTCTCTTTGAGAAGCGCTGCAGCAAAGCGCTAAAGTGGTGAAATTGACTACCCAAAACGGGGATTACACAGGCATTCAGTTTCTCTAACTGCTGACAATGCCTGGATCAACTGGCCTTAAAAATGCCTCACCGGCCCCGATGATGGTAATCGCACAGTCCCCTCCCCGAAAAGTGTACCCATTGTCCCAAGCTAACCTCAAGAGCTCGGAGGGAGCGGGAGATGAAGACAAGGATGTTAATGTTTGGCAAGGCATTGCAGCCTGACCCGATCCCTCCTGCAGCCACAAAAACCTCTGAGCGTAAGAGGAGAGTAGCTTCTCTGGGACCAGCTGTCTCAAAAACATCAAAGCTGTCCCGAACGCACTCTCTCCCTGCGGCAGCCACATCATCAGCAGGGGCTTCCAAGGTGACCCCTGGGGGGTCTGGACAACTTGCTGGGGCTGGCATGAGAGAGCCCCCACCTTCGAGAGTGAGAGCAGCTTCGGCACCAACATCGGGAACAGTGCCGCAGCTGGAAGGCAAGTCTGCACTGGCTTGAGCTGCGCGCTCCCTGAAATTGACAGAGGCACTGGTGCCGCAACTGACCAGCCGCTCTGCACCGGCTTCAGCGGCGTGAGCGCCCCCTGCCTCACCGGCCCCGATGATGGTAATCGCACAGTCCCCTCCGGCACCGGTATCCGAGGCAGAACACTTCGATGCCTCAGCCTCGGCACTGTTGTTAACCCCGGCACTGGGCATTCTACCGGCACTGGCATCAGCACAGCAACAGCTGATTTCCCTGGCACCGCTTCATTTCCTCTCAGTGCCTGGCTACCCTGTGGCTGCGGGGATAGATGAGGCTTCAAGACCTAGGAAGTCATTGTCAAAGACCCACTATAAGGACAGGTCTTTTTCTCCAGCTATTTCACCAGCAAGGCATGGTCGCTATCCTGACTATAGTGTTTCTCCTTCACGGGTCACATACAGCCAGTGTAATTATAGGGATACAGAATACTTAGAGGCATGTCGATCCTGTTCACGATCTCGTTCACCCTCCCGATTCTCAGCGTACGGGTCTGTTAGATGTTCTCCGTGTCATGTCTATTATATCCAACATGGTAGTGCATGCTCGTCTCATCACTCCTTCCCATCGCGTTCTGAGCGGTATTATGAGCGCTATCATAGATCATATGATGATCGTCCCCAGCGTGACCACACACCATCATCACGTAGGGGATCTTCCTGTATCTGCCAACCACCAGCAGCAGAATACTTACCTCACCGATCACAACACCTAGACTCACCTTCTCCAGCTAAGAGTCCAACGATTCTACTAGACCAATCTCATTTCAGGATTCCTGTGCTTCAAGGTGGGGGAAAGCAATTTGCAAGCTTCCCTGAAAGTGGCCTTACTCACTCACAAGGAAGTTTTCAGCCACTGCTGTTTGTCCCATACCTGCACCCAAGTCCAGTCTTAACAGTCTATGCTTGTCTCACAGCATCAGAACTGGCATTCCATTGAATCAAGAGGTTTGAATGCTGGACAGTTGCTCAACCCAAGTACTTTGCAGAAGTGTATATTCATGGCCTCCTAAAATTCATCCTTGTTCCACCGGACTATAGATACCCTCTGGACTTACTCCAGCATAAGTCACACCATAGTGAATATGATTGCCATTTTGCTACTGGATTAGTCCCATGCTTTCCCTGCCATGTCATTTGCATGGATAACCACAAGGGGGAAAAAAGGCACGAAAAGATGGTTTGCAGTTGTTTTCAAGCTCGGGGGAAAGGAGGAGATGAGTGCATTATGGGACTTTGACATGTACCCAGAACCATGTGCTGCACAGTTTTGGTCCCAGCATACACTGGGAGCATAACCCAGAATGTAAAGGTGCAGCAGGAACTGTGAGAGAGCTGCTCACAGTGCATCATTCTCAAAGTCAATGGTAGTCACATTATAGGGGACATGCTACTTCATATTACTTCGAATTTTTGTGCACACTGGGGACATGCAGCTTCAACTTTACCAAATTGGGTGCTAAAAATCAACCTTAATAAATTCAACCTTATCTCATAATATAGACAAGGTCTTAGACATCTTAGCATCTGCTTTTTCTGGGCTGCAAGGTCTGTACTGTGTCCTAGATGTACAGCACAGAATTTCATCCCCAAGACAATATAGAGAGTTACTGTTAGAACCAGGATTAAAACCCAGGAATCCCTTACTTTCACTGTGTTTAATCTGTTTTTAGTAGGCTACTGCTCCTCATTATACTGTAGGCCATTAACTAGGGAGAAGCTTACACTGACCTTATGATTAATGACAGTATTGGTTGAACCTCTCTAGTCCTCCACCCTCAGGACCTTGGCTGATTCTGAGCCAAACCATGGAAGGTCAATATTGTCTAGCAGCATTATCAATACTTCCACTGCTTACTGGGCTTTTAAAAGACATTTGGGGGGTAAATTGGAACTAAACAGCACAGAACACTAAGAGCTGTTAACAAACTTTATGGGATTGCAACGAAACTTGTCTGTACCCATGATTAGTGGACATCTGACTAAAATTATTCTAGACCATGGATATTGCCAGACTAGAGAGTGCTAGACTAGAGAGATTCAAGCTGTGCTGCCCACCTCTTACCTTAAGCCAATTGATGTGGGATCTCCCTCAAAAAATCCAAGATCCAATTTCACCATTCCCAAAGGCCAGGGGTGCTGACCATGAATAATCTGAGATTCAGAAAAAGTGCCTAATAAACTTAAGGTCTAGTGTTGAGTTTATAGTTTTCTCTACTGCCTCAAAAAAGGAATAAAGGTTTAGAAGGATATAGACAAAGATTATTTAAAAAAAAAAAGAAGAGGAGTGTCTAATGTTTGGCATCTAAATACAGGCAGTCCCCGAGTTACGCGGATCTGACTTACGTCAGATCCGCAGATATGAACGGGGGTTTTCTCGCCCCGGAGGACTGGAGCGGCGGGACGCCTGGTCCCGCTGCCTGCCTCCTCCGGGGCGAGAAAAGCTGCTTCCCGTCTCCCTGGTCTGCTGGGAGAGCCGGCAGACCAGGGAGACGCTGAGCAAAGCCGCGGAGGACCCGGGCCGGACCC